TCCTGAACCTGCATTTACATATACTAATTAAGCATGCAAGACTCCAATATATATTATTTATAATTTAGATTATTTAAATAAATTTGCAGTCTACTCCAGCTCTTTTTTTGCCGTTATTTTTGGCCTATCACTTTGCATTAGGGGCGGCACATGTCATGTTCAGGCCCAACCCAACCACCAAACCGTCATGTTTTTGGAGAATGTGATTGAAAATGAGCGTGGAAAAAATAATTTTAATAAAAGGAAGTTGCCACCATTCTTATAATTGTATCCAACTCTACATCTATTGCTATTAAAATTTTAAATTATTTAAAAATTATTTTATTCATTCACATTATATTTCAACAATATCCTTATTAAATTCATTCATTTTTATTTTTTTTTTATAACCGTGGGTGTTCGGGTCAATTTGAGCGCACCTCGACTAATCCCACGAGACCCTGAAGTTTACTAAATTCATTCATTTATACGCTATATATTCACACCTCTTTTATAGATCTATCCCACCTCTGAAATTATTGCAGTTAACTTTAGTGTAGTGTGAAGCAATTCCAACATGGCTGTCCAGGTCCTTGAGGGATTAATAGTTATTTTTTTATTTTTTGTGCAGGATCCTCTTATTTGTGCTTTGGCTGTGAGGACTATGGGGTGCATTCGTGTTGATAAATAAGTAAATAAAACACCTTATCAATAAAATCATCCACTAAGTCAGCATCTTTAGCTGCTCTCTCAGCTACAATTTCAACACTCCACAGCCTTTCTTAACATTCTGCCTGCCAGAAGATCTTCAGCGAGGTCCTCGGCCACTTCCTCTACTACCTCCGCTACCTTTTCAATGGCCTCAGTCACTTCTTCTGCCTCGTTCAATGATTTTTCAGGGTTATCTTCGCAGGTGACGTATCAGCTACTGTTCTCCTTCTTATCAGCTTAAACTTTAAATGAGATGGTTGAAAACATTTCGAGTATCAAAATTTTGATGAAATAGATAATCTGAATATATAAATTCCTTCCACTCTAAAATGTTCGAG